TCAGATATATCACCCTCAACCTTCTCACAGTACAGTCTATAAGCACATCTTATACCTCTCTTCCAAGTAGCCCTCACCAACCTAAAACGCGAGAGATAAGTTACGTTATTAGAGGAACCATAGCGTTTCAGAAGCAACTGTTTCTCCTTTATCATTCGAATAAGAGTCGAATCAAACCATGGTGGATACTGTTTAACCCTCTAATCGTTTTCGGAACAAAACTATTCAGACCATCATACTGCTGGCATAAAAGGTATTCAAAAGATCATCTGCATATCAATGCGGACGAGGTTATATACAATCTAGGAAGGTCAGCACGGCGGAAATTATCCATCACATTATGCAGTCGAGTCAACCCTACGGAAAATGCAGTCGATCTTAAATTCCCGAATAGTTATTATTTGTCCATTATTTAAACTATTTTATTACTTTTATTGCAAACTGTTTGTTGGGTATTTCGCCCTAAAAAATTTTTGTCTTGAATCCGCCTCAACAATATAGAACTTATCTATTTTATTACTAAAGTTCAGTTCAATGTTCAGAATGCAGATTTCAAAATGGAAATGTTTTCGGGCAATTAAAGTTAATGAGCGATCAAATGGCTTGGTTTCCAGTAATTCAAATAGCACCACTTTTTCGCGTTGTGGATTGCAAAAATGCCTAATAATAGAATTTGAATGTAACAATTGACTAAAATCAGAGTCAAGAGAAAACAGCATTTGAATTCGCTTTCTGTACAAATGAAATGAATTAAGAAATTATAGGCCTGTTCTATTTTAAGCGGATCACCCCATATTTGCAACTATAAATATTTGAACTTCATCTCCTGTTCTTTCAGTTCAATCGTCAAATCGACTAGTTTTAATATTCTTTATGGAATCATAAAAATTAAGTTTCTTGTTTTAAGTTGACTTTTTGATATCTGCTCAAGTTGTATAACATAACTCAAAGTGGAGAGTCATCAGACCAAATTAAAGCATGACAAATTTCATGTGAGTAATATTCATTTGCACACTACTTCATTTTTAAAAACGTATGTCGGACACTTTTAAATTTGATAAACGCACCATAGTGAACATTTTACAAGAGAAAACGTTGTTGAAAATAATGGAATTAACAGGAACGATTATTAAACCCAAACTAGAAATTTTGTACAATATGCAGTTTTGATTTTTGTTTGAAAAAAAAACAAGGAGCATCGATCGCCAAGCATTTAGAGACTAATCAAGAAAATATGGTATTAAATGTAAATAGTTTGTAGTTATTGTGCGTATTAAATTTTGCACTTTAAAGTGATTTTTTCGTTTTTATTGAATTTAATTTTGTTTGCCTGTCGCACCTGTACAAAGGAAAAGTTTATCGAAACGATTGAGTTTCAATTATTGTCTTAATGTAAACTTTCCATATTCGGAACGTATTTTGGACTTTATTTTTGAAACACTATTGTTCAGTTTTGGAAATTTAAACTTTTCGAAGAAACCATAAATGCTTGTATTCAGGTAATGCTTTCCAGGCAATTTTATATAATAAAGAAAATGTAATCTGAAAAGCTTCACATTTTGTCAAGTATATTGGTCTCTGCTCTTTGTGTAATTAAGTACATGTGTGAGGTTTATAAATAAAAACAACCATATGTTTAATATGCTGGGGGGTAGGACAAAGATGTGCCGCTATATATGGAGATGACTAATTTCTTTCCACCATAAAGCTAATTTTTAAGTATTGTCTTTACGGAAACCTGTCTCAGTGCATTTAAAAATATGCTACATTAAAGCGCCGGTTGTTTCTACTTTTTTCAGGATCACGATTGTGAAGATACTGGGAAATTGTATTGAAAAAGTTTACATAAATATAGGTACACAAATGGTTTGTTTGTGAATTGCCGGTAGTACAAATTACATAAATATTAATAAATAATTCTGTAATAATAAAATTGGCAATTCTGGCTCAATATAATAAATCCTTATTTTTCATATTTTGTAGTCTTTTATGCAAGTTTACTTTTTCAGAATACTTGAACATAATAACTAAAGAGTTTTCATATAAGTTTTACCTACACACACAGATATAAACATATGTAAACAATCTTTATTAGAAAAGAATCTTGACCTAATCGGGCTTTCTGTTTTTGATTGTAAATATTTACCTCAGTTATTATTCCAAATATTATGCCCAGCGAATTGAATATTTCGTCTTTCAACTAATGTTCGAGGGATTTTTTAAATTTAGTTGCACTTGTTTTAGCAAATTATGACTCCATAATTTAAAATTTATGATAGTTTGAAATAAACTCGGGATCAAACCAGTTTAGTGCATTATTGAATACATTAAATTGTGGCTCAATACAAGTCATATAAATATGACTGAGGATAATTCGCTTATAACACAAGTGTAATATTGCGCTCCTAGTTATTAAACTCAGTAATGTAATCAGCTGGCACAATAATAATATGCATCATCACGAAGCCAAAATGCTTAACCATATAAACATGACAGGATATGGACGTTTTGTATCTCTCTCTATTATAAGTGCTAGCAGACAATGGCGTAACTTGAAGACCAATTTACACAAAAGCCGTTGCCTTGTAAATTCATTTTTTTCATTCAATATAAAGATTAAATAAACATTATACTAGCAATTTAAGAATAATTAAGTGCGGATACATAACGTAAAACTTTACTAGTTAATTCAATTTTTTTGAAAAAGTCAAATAGTCAAAAAGCACATTATTGAGCCAAATACCGTAAAAGTTGTACAATAATTCCATTCAATTTTTTTTCTTATTTCTTAATGTGTCAACCCAAGCAGACTTACTAAAATTAGATCTGTTCGAAAATTGCCCATATTAATCCAACAGCAGAAATGTGTCGAATATATTTTTAAATTGTAATGAACTAAGCTTCTAAGCTTGGACTAAGACATCATTAAACCTGTAACTCTAAATGTTTGCTCTTAATCAAACTTGAATTACGTTTGCAATAACCTTCCTGATAATATTTCATTCAACTCAACTAAATTATATTTTTAATTAACAAAATTGGTAGTAGATAGAGCTCAAAAAGACAATTGTAACAAAATTGCTCAGCAAATTCATTGAAACTGAAGTTCCAATGTGAGTGTTAATTATTGTGTCACTCTGATTATGAAAGTAAAAGCAATAGTCTTGGTCTTAATAAGCCGGCCTTTGTCTGTTCTGCCACTGGTCCTAAAAGCTTTCTTTCTATGCGGTTCAATGGTAATCGTCGAAGAGGAAGTACAAATAAATAACACTATTTTGACTGGCCGAGTGAATAATCATCATCTTTATCTTTGGAGTGCATCGGAATAATGATATAGTTAATCCACGCTAAACGAATACCAAGGATGTTTATCAATATTGCCCATGACAAAATGTTCCCTGGAAATAATTTGAACTGATTAAATCCAATGAGGGATTAATTGACCCATTGTGTTGACTTTTTTTTTACTTAAGCAAAAATTAGTTTGACCACGTTGCAGTCAATTGATGACGATATACCAGGTCTTTTAATTAAGTGATATTTAATTAATGACTTGGTCAATTAAATAGCTTGGATTTGGTATGCAGCTTCTATACATTTTGCAGTCAGCAGTGTTTCGAAACGTACAATTGATGGAAATGTTTTCTGACTAAATTAAGAAAGAAGATAAAAAAGCAGTAATAACAAACCATAAGTAAATAATTAACTAAACCAAATTTTGTCGCAAAAAGCTGATTGATATCCATTTGAGTAATATAAGATAGATTCAAGCTCAGTTGGTTTAAATAATTTTTATACTGTGTGATACTGGAATCTGTTAAAATTATCTGTGGCCATCTAGATGCTGATGCTAACTATCTATATTAATTATCTCCTAATAAATATAGTATGTTATAAATATGACAATATAATGGTTAAACATTTACATGAAAACATTTAAATTTAGATTTGGAAGCTTCAAAACTGCAAGTCTGCAAATGTTTGATATTTATTAGCTACTGAATCAGACTTCCTCTATGAGAAGATGTTACAAAATACTTTACAATTTCGAATCCTTAAACGTCCAAATCATATAGCGACACTTACATATTTTGGTTTTTATATTACAAGCCGAAAAAAATCATAAATTCCAATTATAATTGTATCGTAATTGACAATTCAGCAGATGGTGATGATTAACATAAAGACAAAATTACACAGGTTTGAGCATATCTTGAATTAAGTTTTGTTCAGTTTTGAACCAGAAACAGTTAGAAAATAATGGTGTCTTGATTTGCTTGCATAATTTGTCTGCTTCTACTTTCAAAATTTTAATAAACCAATATAGTTTAATTTAAATGTTTCGATACCGATTGGCATCTAAAGATTTACATTAAAAACTATCTTATATATCAGAATTTTCTGCTCTTTCGTTACTGGTCTTCCGTGAATTTTTTTTCTGTACAATATGCGTAAACCTGATTATTTCTACATTAAATAAGCAAAGTCTTGTGTATGTAAAATTTTGAAAGTAAATAMTCATAATCATTTTGGATTAGAAAAACGTTTTCTGAATGAAATATYAAATAAAAATGAGWGTTAATTMATATCTTTAAAGGGTGTTATCTATCGTATATGTATTTGAGAATATTTTGAGTTTATTTCKAAATTTTCCAGGCATKTCAGTAGCAAGTATTTTCTTATYTGCATTGWAAAGCATTTCACGTTAATAAAATATTACCTTTTTCTTTAACTGCGATCAGTTTTTGWTGCTTTTGTYSCTCTGTTAGATGAAACAATCAAAMCACTTCTATGAATCTTCGCTKGAAAYCCGATTTAAGTACTTTCAAGGAAWCATAAAATATAACAATTAGTTAACAATATAAATAATATCGGCTATTTTTGAGCTGGAGAGTTAAAATGTAAACACCCAGAAACCTTTGTTTGGTTYATTAAAATGTTGATCAATTTKATACTATATATGTAGATATATTATATTAATATCAGYTAATGGGTTTCTTAAAGCAGTTAATAAAACGAACGTATTTTTTATTTTAGCAATGTATATTTCGGTAGCTAAACAACAACTTTTTCCACATATTTTATTTAAGAATAAACTTTATTCTCAACTGCATCCAGAGTTCTAAAAGTTCATGCTTTTTTCACAGCAATTTAGAATGTTAATTCAATTCTTTGTTTTGTGTGCTGGTCCTTTTCATTGAGTTTTTCGAATCTTCACATTCTTCACAATTCGAATACACAAAACTAAAAGGTGTTTTTATTAAACCAAGATGTTGATTTTCAATTCACCTGACTTAATAAAACAATTTGCTTGAATGTGGTTGTGCAGATACAGAATTAAATTTGAAATTCTATCTCACAAACGATATTTTATATTTAGTGATTTGTAAGTAATGAAATAATGTCGATTCATGTATAGGGCGTGCTAAAAGTATAATATGTATAGTCAGTTTAAAACCTTCTACAAAACTCTGTTATATAATGAAATGATGTAAAGTTTCGACCGATGATAATGACCTTTCCGACGACCTCAATATTGAACTTCTGAATGTCATTAGTTCGAAATCAGGCCAAAAATATTCAAGAAAGGATAAGTGAACTGGGGAATCTGTGTCATGATCTCATGTTATTAGCCACTGAACCTTGGAAGTCCTTTTCCGATCTGCCAACAATGATATCGATCATCTGGCACAATAAGGAAAAAATCAATTTCACGATCGTAAGATTTTCAATAACGACTTCTTAAAAAGGAGAAATATCCTTTCTTTGAAAAAAGGACAATAACATTTTATTTATTTACTCGTTTGATTGAAGTGACCTGATACAGGGATGTAGTTGAACTAAACAGTCTATTCTAGAAGGTTTTTAATTATTTGTCTGATTCATCCAACATAATCCATTTAAAACCGAATATTTACGTATATTTAATAGCCTTTTTCGTAGATCTGCTAGTAGCGGTACAAGCTCTAATAATCTATCAATACTACAAGCTACAAGCTCTAATAATTATATGTCGTATCCGTATGGCCTTTATTACCTCTTCGATTATCGTCCTTATTTGTAGCGCGGGAGTTCCTCGATTTTTAAACTGCTTTGTTGGCTTTTCGGGTTATTAACTTTACACATGACTTAAATTATATTCAACCATAATTCAACTGGTTAATCTTATGTAATACTTATCCAGTAAATCATCTTTTTCATGTGGGTGTGCAAGGCAGTCTTATTTAAGTTATTAGTCTTCATTTGTTAGTTAATATAACGGTTTTTCAAATTTTGCAGATTTTTTTAGTTTAAGAATTAGCAAAGGCGAGCATTAGACGTTTTAATATTTATATACCCACAAAAAATTCACAGTTTAGATCGTTATCGGAGCAATTTAAAATCCTGTCCTGTCTTTTAGCGACATATCGTTCAAAATAGGCGCCAGGCCAGTTATTTTTCTCTTCCTTATATGGCTTTCCTTGGCCGTCCTTGTGGTACTGTTGAGGTCGGGCGCGTCGAATCACTGCAGTACTGACAAAAATTCATGCCGCCCTCACTGTCATGGTCAGATTGAGAAATTATTAAACATTTTGCGTTTTATGGGCAATTAATATCAATTTTGCACTTATATGGATGCGGATTTCAATATCGATTGATCTGGTGGAGACTTCCTGGGTCTGTGCTGGTCATTTCAGTCCAGCCAGGAGTTATGGCTTCGGGAAGAAAAGGAATTGCATATTTGTGTTAATATTGAAAGCATAAATGAATATTTTATTCAAGCAAGCTGCAACCTCTAATATAATTTCCCTCTAGAAATACTTTTCAAAATGTGCAACTTTATAATCTGTAACAACTAATAATGCGAGTTTTTATTAATGCAAGGTAAATTTTCATTATGACCTCAATTCTGCAGCGAATGATTTGCTGAAAAATTTAAGAAAGCAAGCATCTATTGACCAAAATAGGGTAACAACCAATTTTCCCTGAAGCTTTGTCGGATTTATTGAAACTGTTCGTCGAACTTATGCAATTATGAAGTACATACTCTTATAAATTTTCATGAAAATCTATTATTTTTTTTAACTCTTCTGGTATTACACCCGATAGTCAATGGGCCAAAAACTTTTGTAAAATCGTCGAAATTGAGAAAACTCGAGAAATATTTTAGTAACATCAAATTTAACTTAATGCTGAAAGTTGCATTTGCCAGTTGAGAACTTCATCCTTTCAGCTGAGATATACAACATATACATGTATGTATATATACAATATTCCTAGTTTACAGTAAAACTCTTGTAAATTTATTTGAAACAAACTTTAAATTCCTCTCCATACCCATAACTAGATGGAATGTACCTATTCAATATTGAATTATTGATCAGTCTTAAACTTCGTATACAAATTACTCGTTTTTTAATTATCTGTGACTTAGTAATGCATTTTCCACTTCGAAAAATGTTTATTCAACTCATTGAAAGCACCAACATTTGTTTATTCAAAGTAACAGAAAAATTTTAAGCACACAAGTGAAGAGTGTTATTGTCTCGCAAATCAGCTTTGAATTTTTCTTTGTCACATAAACAAATCTATAATTTTTGCAAACCATTTTCCGTTAAGTCATATCAGAATTATTTTTTCCGCAATAAATCACCCAAGTATAGAGCACTATTATTTTACACAGGAACAGTAGCATGAATAATGATTGTTCATTGCCACACTTGAAATATGGCAGAAACAGTACAATAATTGTTTTGAATTACATAATATCAAGTTTCTTGTTTTATGTTAAATTAGAAGTTTTGCAGTCAATGCCAATATTTGTTTATATCGCGTGAATGGGATTGAAGCTAAATATATGTTTTTAAAGGTCAAGTATTCATTAAATGACATTATAGTGTTCGTCTGGTTACATTAAACAGTGTAAAAATGGAAAATTTGAGAAGGCAAATAGCAATAATATCGAGAACCCAACCAAAGAAAGAGAGATAATTTGAATTCTAAAAGTATTTTTTCTCCAAAATGACGTGTCTTTCGTTAGAAATTGCTACGAAAACTTCAATATTTTATAAAAATGTTTTCGACCTATTAAATGACTTTTACCAGTATTTTCCACAATAATTTCCCATTTTTCAC